TGTCTTTCCTAAGGTAAGGAGCTTAAGACTGAACACAATATTCCAAATATGGCCTAACCAGTGACCTGTACAATGAAATTATAACCTCTTTAGACTTTTATTCAATATTTCTGTAGATACAACCTAAAATCCTATTTGCCCTACCACTAGCAAGAGCACACTGTTTGGATGGTTTTAGAGTCTGATAGACTATTACACCAAGATCCCTTTCTTTCACAACACTGTTAAGGTTATTCCCATCCAAATTACACTTATTCAATTAATATGGTACCTGCCCTCTATTCAAGTACTGACAAAAAATGGTAGTGAGTGACTCACATATCCAATCTTTAACCTCCTTCAAAACCCTTGGGGGAAATATTATCTATCCCAGGAGCCTCATCATTTTTTAAACTTCCCAATTTTTCTTAACCAGCTCAGAATTAATGCAGTCATATTAATTGATCTCATTTCAATTTATCAACTGTTCAAGATGTGGAATACTGCTTAAATCTTTGTTAGTAAAATCCGAAGAAAAAGCAAAATTTAATAACCCAGCCATCTCATAATCATCAGATACTAGTCTTCCTTTATCATCCCTCAAAGGTCTTACCCCTATCCTAACATTTTGTTTTCCCTTAATGTATTTAAATAAATCCTTACTGTTAATTTTTACATTTTCAGCCAACCTTTTCTCATACATTTTTTTTATGTTCTAATTTCCTGTTTCACCAACGTTCTTGATCTTCTATAATCTTCTGAGTCTCCTGTCATACCAGTCAATTTTATCTCTTAAACTCTTTGTGAGCCAACCTGGTTTTTATTTGCAATATGTTTACCTTGAATAGTTAAAAATTCATCTTTAAAAGTTTTCCACATCTAATCAGTGTCTCCATATAACTCAGCTGCCCAATTCACAACAGATATTTCTTGTCAACCAGCCAATCTGCTCATCCATACATACTAACCTAAGCCTAGCATTTAGCCCTAGTGACCTACTTATAACTTCATCCCCACAGTTAATTCTAGGCAGTATTCCTAACAAAATTCAGTTATGGCCTTTTTCTTTAAATATCTTTATCAACCCCTTGTACTTATTAATTAGCTCCTCTGACCTACCTTTCCCTACATCACTAGCCCTACATGCATCACAAAAACTACATCTCTGCTAGCCCCTTTATTATATCTCCTACTCTGTCAGTTATATCCTGCACCTGTGCCCCTGAGTAGCATAATCTGATTCTTTTCTCCCTATTTACCCCACAGACTATTCTATCCATATGCCACGTGTCAGGGAATCACCTATAACTATAACCTCCTTATTATCCACATCCTTCTCTGACTCTTTTGTTTTCCTTCCCTCCAATAATTCCTCATTTGCAGAAGCCAAGGGCTGAAATTTGTTGCTCAACAGAATAGACTCATTATAACTAAATTCACTACTTTTTACTCTAATAGTACTCTTTCTAACTTCCTAAAAGTCACTGTTAGCTGATGTATCCCTTCATGTAAAAGCTTGAGCTCCTCCTGAAATCCTGCTGCCATTTCACACAGTCTACACTTCTATTTATCTATTGCATCTACATTAATCATGATTGCCTCCAACCTACAAACTCTACATAAAAATTACACATCTTCATTACTAGCTTCCTTAAAAGTACATTTTAGTCACAAGTTCCCAAATAAAACCCACTCATTACACCTAAGAAACTGTGAACACTCCTAAACTAGTCTTAACCATTGTATTTATACTTGTCTCTTGAAAATACTCGATACCAGATACCAGTAACCTATTGTTAACACTGTTACTCATAAACCTAATGTTTATGAACCAATTATATTATTTTTTATCACTACTTTGTCTTCACACTAAAGTGATAAAGTTAATCTTTGATTATACAGAACTTAATAATTTATTAGAACAATATATGTAATGTTAATAATAAAATGTATTTAGCCTGATTTATATTATAACCTACCTATATCTATAAGCTGAATTTAAACTAATGGATCTAAGTTCAAGTAAACAAGCTAATTCTTAAAACACCAAGAGACAATAAATTAGTTTTTAAATTCTACTTATTTAATAAGACAATGTATTTATCCTGTTTTACAATTTACCAGTAAGTTGAAATATACCTAAGCCTAAAGTACTGTTACATGTACTAAGCCTGTTTTAACATTGTAGTAATAATTTACACCACTAAACTCTTAACTTTAAACTTTGACTGTCTTACTTTAATTTGTAATCTTGTTATATCTAGTTATTATTGTGTTATTTAATCCAAATTACTACTAATTATAATAATGATATTAATTAACTTTCAGAATTCAATAAGAGCTTAACTTTTCAGTGCCTTCCTTCTTCAGTCATGCCCTCTATTACTGATCTGTTCTATGTCCAGATACTTATATGCAGTAAATTAATTTCAAATATTATTGGTATAATTAATAGGGTTTATCTAGTTATTTTTGTCCATATTTGTATGACATGAATATCCTAAACATAAGAATACTTGTCTTAATATTTGTTTATATTTCAGACATCCTTGGAACTTGAAGATTCTGACTAACAGCCAAGGTTCTATCTTGAAGTGTATGGGTCCAGTTTCTGGTAAATACTCAACTCATTAGGGAAAAAAAAAAATCTTGACCAGATAATAAAACAGTTCTGTGATTTTTTTAGTGTCCTATTTTAATATTTCAGTTACTTTATGATATAAATTTCTAAAGCCTATTTCATTCATTTTCATGTTAAAAATACCTTGATATATAGAAAATATAAATGTAGGTGTATAGGAATTTAATGTACATTATATTTTGTTGACTAAAGTTAGGATGATATACGATTGATGTTAATAAAACTTGCATTATGAAACCTGAAATGAGCTGAGAATGTACATACCTTGTAACTAATATATATATATATATATATGACTGTCGTACTTCCAGATGTCCTTGTCATAGATTGCACATTTAGGGTAAATCTTCTGTTTTGTAAACAGTAGATTTGCTTCTTAACAGCAGGCAACATTAATAAAAAGACAGTGGATCATTGTCAAAAAAGGGAACTTTTCAAACATTGTAAGGCAAGCCTTTTTTGGGGGAGAAGGTCAAGTATTAGGGGGACTATGAGTTGATCTTATTACACTTAGGGTAAAACAATGAAAAGAAGTAAACAAATACTCTTTAATTCCTATTCATTTGGTTTTATAAACACTTCTCAAATCTAAAACTAGACAGTGAATTGTTGCATATTAAGACTTATTAGCACATAACAGTTATTTTTTGTTACTGTTAAAGACCTACAAGTCCCCGTGTTTCAGTGATTTTAAAGTTGAAATGTTTTTTCTACCTGATAATTTGCAGCAAGGAAAGTGCAAGATTAGGTGTATCTCTTGATAGTTGTTGACATAATGGCAGGGGGCTTGAGCCCATTCAACCACTCCTTTGTGCATGCCACTGCTTCTTAGAATGATAAGTCAAAGGTTTTATTAACACAAGAGGTGAAAGATTGTATATAAACTCTCATGTTACCCAGGGAAGTATCAAACAAGTTTTATGCTGGAAATCATTACTTCAGAAGCGCAAAAATTTATAGAAAGATTTATGGCGGTATAATGTGCACATTATTGTAGTTATATGAACCAAATCCCAATAAATACCATCGGCAGTGATTGTCAATGAGAATTTTTGTTTGCCAAATTTTGAATTTTCCCTCATATTTTTAGGTAAAAAGCTACTTTAAAGAAAACTGTAGAAAAAATTGCCTAAAGTGCACAGAGATGTTTAGTAATAAAAGTAAATTATATGTTTAAATGTGTAATCTTTTTTCATTATGTAGGAGTGACAATTCCAACTTTGCATGTGGGAATGTTATTTACAACTGGGTGCTGGTATCGTGATCCACATTGTCTTCCATGGTTGGAATATCTTCATACTGGTGCCAGCAAGATCTGGTATGTTGCCTCTTCTTTTAGATAATACCTTTTATCTACCCTTAGTTTATATTTATACATTTTAACTTCTTTGACTCTTTGATGGGTACAGCCCATGTCAAGGGCAAAGCTCAACCATTGAATTGTAAAAAAATCATCAAAAAATAAACTTAGAGTATATATAAAGAGTACAAAGATACTAAGTGTTTGTAATTTATTTTCATATTCTATTTACAATGGAAAACAGCTACAACTAATGTATTAAATCCATTTTGATATGAGCATTTTTCAGATAGAAAAGTAACTCAATTACACTTATAAATAGCTTTTTTGTTGAATTTGTAATGTAATGGTACTACTGTTCTCTATATGTGAGGTTGTGTGTTACCATGATTCTCTAAAAGTTAATCTTATATCTTTTTTTGTTACTTGACAGCCTCTTAAAATTTTTTGAGATATGTACCTTTACCTGTGATTTTAATTTTACAATTATCTGTATGCTTTCAACTTGGCTAATATTAATCTTAATATCTGATATAAAACCTGTGTACTATATTTTTTTATTCTTCAGGTACAGCATTCCTGCATATCAGACAGAAAATTTTTGTTCTGCCATGAAAAAAATTATGCCAGAATTCTGTACTAATAATCCTATTTGGTTGTCATCTGATACTGCTATGGTAAGTTACATAAAATCAGTTCTTGATGTAAGTTGAGTAATATGGTTATGTTAAGTAAAGGTTGCTGAAACCTTTTTTTCTTCTTCTTCTTCATGAAATACATTAGCTCACATCACAGTGGTTCTTATCAGCCATTTGCCAAACTGTTGGTTTATGTATTTTATGCAATGCCATAATTGGGTTTTCACTTTTAAACTAATAAAATAGACATATCACACTGTACTACCATGTGCATTTCACTCAAAATAAACTCAAAATGTGTGTAATTAAGCTGAAGCCTGTAGTTCTTAAGGCAACAAATAAATGATTTTATTACATTAGAAGAATTGTTTTTGTTTTGAATGTGCATTATAGTTTACTTTGTTTAACACTGCCAACCACTGCCTTGTATGTTGCTGTGTAAAAATGTACAAACTATCTGCTGTTACTGTAAAACGATTTTCTAAGAGGAAATCATAAAGAGGCCCTATCTTGAACCCTGTAACCCCAGTACCATTTTTAAATCTCTTTTTGTGCATGTAACAAAGTGTTATGAGTTATATTCAAAATTTAATTAAACCACTTTACTATCAATGTATTTTAATGAAATTAGTGTTACCAAGTGCATTATGATTAGAAGTCTTACATTATTTAAGTTTTTATTCCTTTATTTCAAAAGAAACTGTAAAACAATAATTAATAAGTTCATGTTTGCTCTCACTTGAAGTACAAGTGGCTAAAGCAACTGAACTTTTAGAATTTGTTGTACAAGAAATGACTACAGATAAAAATGTCTTTCTTGCTGAAAACATGTACATACAGTTTGTTTACCAGTAACTTGATACCAATTCCTAGAACTGATTTTGAAAGAAAATCATTATAGACATTCCTGAGTTCAGGCTATGCCATAATCACTTGTAAAGTAGAAGCTGGGTTGCTTAGTGAGTGTTTTAAGTTGAATGGCATGCTTATAACCAATAGAAAGACAATATTTTGGTCCTTCAAGGTCGTTTATCCTTTCACGACACATATACTACAGATTGACGTTCAGCACCATTATAATGAGGCTAAGTTCATTGTTGAGAGTAGTGTCTGTAGTGCTTTGCAATTTTTTTCTTGTCTTATAGGAATTAGTTTGATAGACAGTTAGATTGCATTTTGGTTTTACTTTTATATTTTAGTTAATCATGTATTATTTCTGTTTTAAGATTTATATTTGAAAGGTTTAATTATTTTTTAAATAATTCTATACTTGTATCACTAAAACGGCTTTGAGACACACATGCAAAAAATATTACACTGGAGGGGCTAAACCTAACAGCTGAAGTTAATGTAACATTGCTCGCGAGCACTTGTTGATGTGTGTTGACATAAATAATCAAAGATAAAGAACAGGAGAGGAAAATAAAACATTAAAAATAAATTATAAGTAAAAAAAATAAAGACATGAAATTATGCATGTTAGTTACTGAAGATGTCATTAAAATAATCAATGAAGTTTTAAAAGGTATGTACATATTTCTGTTTCTTAATTTTAAACATTTCATTGCACTGTACATTGATAATAATAGCTGGAGATAGTGATGTTGTAGAGAAAATGGCACATAAAATATGAACATTTACCTTAAAAAATCTGATATTTATTTAGGAGGTTTTAAAGATTATGCAAGTGAAATATGAAACTATAAGGTAAATATTAGAATTTTGATACTTAACATGAAAATCACTTTGCAGATGAACTACTCAGAGTCTGAGTGCAAATAACTATATTAAATAACATTTTTATTAAAAAAGTAGAAGAAATCAAAATATAATATTTTTCTGAAATTACATACTTTTAGGAACATTCTTATTCAATTTTAAACAATTTTATCCACTAGTTTTATTTTTGGAATGAAATATGACAAGGGCAATGTTACCCACTAAAAGATTAGCAGCTGATAGTCATAGGGTTATAAACTTTTCTTTATATGAATTGAATGATAATAAGAATGAACGAAAGAAATTATAGTGTAAAATATGCTATCAACATATTCCCAAAATCAAATGTGAAACAAGACATTGTATGATTAGTAGTCAAAGTTTGCAAGGAAATTTTTTAGCTTAAACAAATGGAGTAGAATATTTACACAAAACTAATGTGCTGCAAAACAAGAAAGTGAGGTTGTTATATGATGGAGCAAAAAACGAAATTTCATGGTGTATCAAGTGACAAGACTGATAAGCAGTAGCAAACTAGTTCAAGTAGATGTAATATTCCATCTAATGACCCATTGTATGACAAAGTCCCTTTAGCATAAAACATAAACCAAATCAATACAGCCCTAACAGTTGCAATGAAAGAATGTCCAGTGACAGATTTTGGTGAAATGATAAATGATTTCAGGGTGTATCAAGTGACAAGACTGAAAAGCAGTAGCAAACAAGTTCAAGTAGATGTAATAATGTCCAGTGACAGATTTTGGTGAAATGATAGATTTCAGAGAAAAAATAACAGGTAGGAAAGACAACAATCTGTTCCTAAAGAATCCATTGACCCCATGACAATGACACCATTTTTAACTCCTTTCCGTGCATGTCACTAAGTTACATTCAAAATTGAATTAAACCACTTTCCTATCCATTTATTTTAATGATGATATTACTATCAAGTACAAGTACATTATATTTTGATGTTTTATTTAATTTTAGTTTTTTATTCCTTTATTTCAAAAGAAACATTGAAACAATAATGAAATCTCACAGGTTTGCTTACCTTATGCACAAAATTTGGCAAAATATAGCTTGGAACATAAGGTGATAGTCACGTAGATCTAAGTCTAGACGAGAATTTAGCTTCCTTGCTCTTTTGACACATATGGTTCAAAGTACTTTCACTGAATGCAGTTGAAACAAGAAATAAATTTTGTCAACCCCTAACAGGTGCCATGCCCACCTTCTATAATTTAATGTTGAGCTTTAGAAGTTACATGTACTTTCAACATGTATTTGTTTATAGTAATTAGAAAGAGCTCATTTTACACTATAATCCAAAAATGGTTATTTTGAAATAGGTAGCAAGTTGTCCATAGGTAAATGTGACTGCTTGTACTATTATTGGCTGCTTTGTCCACATGGAGACTTCAGTTGTTTTTATGTTAATATGTTAGTTATTTAATTAAATAATGCACCTAAGAACACAAAATAATAACGCATAAAAAGCAGACAATATTCTATAACCATCATAATTGTTCTGGCTTTCTAACTTAGTTTTAAGAGCTGTTTAAAATTCAGCTAAGCTTGTTGATATGTTTCTTGTGGGAATAAAGGTGGAAGTGGAAGCAAAATGGATGATTCTCTATGGAAAATAACATAATCTAATATGTCATTTGATGGATTAAAACTTTGACTTTCTATTGGTTATACATAACAGTATTAATCATTAGAGAAAAATATTGGCAATTTCTGAAAGAGAGGTTGTGACAGGATTTTGTGTGGCAAGAGGGGTCTGATTTTATAGTTTATGGCTCTGTAAACAAATAAGATTAAAGGCTACAAAAAATTTTGCTTTGCCTGAGTAATAACTATATTATAATGAGTAATTTATTTTAAATTCTATACTTCTGGGAAGGGTGGTAAATATATTAGAGAAGAGGGGATACCTAGAAAATGTATGTTACAATTCTCATACTTGAGTGAGATTTGAGGATGTTTTTAAATATTTCATTATAAAAGTAAGAACTTAAAACTTCTATGATATTAAAATTCGATTTATTAACTGTGTTTTGATGTCAAGTTTATTTGTGTACCTTGATAGTAAAGTAGTTTAGTATATTTTGAATGTAACTCTCTAAAAAGTCGTGACATGCATGCTTTGACCTGCCCATAGTGAGAGGGTTTAACTTGTGACTGAGCTGCCTGCAAAGTTTACAGCAAAGAATTATAATTGTGAATTATGATAGATTAGCTGCTGAACTGATGAAATGCAATTTGATACACTCTAGTATAACGAGTTTGGAATATAATAGTTATTTAATGGTGAAACTGTTAAGACTTGTGGTTTTGGTGATACACACGGTATGACACATTTAATAAGAATAATGAGATGAAAGAAGACAATCAGATCTTTGAACATTTCAGGTAGAGTTTGTAACTTCAGAAAATACTTGTTAGACAAAGTGCTAAAAGAATGGAGAGTCCCAAAGAAGCTGGTAGCAAAACATTTTCAGTGTCTATGGTTAGGTTGTGGTGATTGGATGTCACTTGTTGTCTTGATTAATAGTCTGTGTGATAACCTGAGTCTAATTTATAGAATTATGAAAATATTATTAAAAGTTGTTCATTTTCAAAGGGAAATATGGATCATAAAAAAATATAGAAACAAGATAGCTAGATTAAAGTGAAAATGCAGCCACAAAAAAGGTAAACAAACAAACTTAAGATTTGAGACACAAGATAGATAAAAAATTGGGAATTTAAAAACCTGAAAAATAGAGACAGTAAACAAGGTAAGCATAAAAGACTGGAGGTACTATAGACATTATTTACTCAAGCTACAGACCCCTATTCTGACTCCATGATGTTATCTAGAATTATATGCAAATATAAGAAAATGTGTTATAATATAATAGCATATGTATACAAATAAATATTTTAAATACTTTTTATAGTTGTAATATTTTCCCTTCCTTCTCTACACAGGTCACAGTTTTGGTGCATTAAAATTTATACATGTGTAGCTGTATTAAGCTTTTCTTCCTTTCTGCCCTTGTTGTGAGTTTTGATTGTGTTCATGTTTTCTAAAAGAAACTATGAACAGTACTTAAAGAAGAAGAAAAAGGTGGAGGTACCTACCAACTCAACATTTTTAGAGAGAAGAATTTGGGCATCAACAACAACAAAAAAAGAATACACGAGGCTTGAAGCCCACCCTATTCTAAAGAAGTATTTTATTGTTAAAAGCTATGGTTTAAGCACCAAAATGTCACTAGGTCTAACATTTGTGCTGATAATGGTCAAAGTAAGAAGAATGAGGAAAAACAAACTGCATGAGTTTAAATGAGTTCTATTTAATTATTACTTCATTAAGCAACCACTTGAACACAGTATTTCTAACCATACTGCCAGCAAAACTTCACTGCAGAGGTCAGGTGATGTTAGTCTTAACTGGCTGGTCTATGTACTAATTCCCTTGGCAGTCAATCAGATGAGCTGTGGTCTCACTACCCCACATCCTGTTACTTACCATAAGTATGCCATGCAGCTTAAGTGGAGATTGCAGAACTGATGTCACCAATAAGTTAAACACTGAATTTTGTTAATCAAGTTATAGTAACCTTCTGACTCAGAATATTGCAATACAAATGACTGAAATACATATAATGGGTGTATGGATACTTCACTGTAAAAATTTGTGAATATCTTTTTTTGAAATGTGTTGTAAAAATTTTTTCTAAAATCATCTAAGTTTTGTGAACAAATATGCAACACCAATCAACAATTTGGTAGTTTGCCAGCATTAATTTAGTGTCCTGATGAAATGTAGTAATATTGTGTATGTTTGCATATATGTGTTAATACCCTTTTCTAAATACAGTTTATTTTATTTGCATGTGTTCAGGGATGACTTTTTTTATAGATCTGAGGATTCTCTGTCAAAAGTATTTATATATATATGACAAAGACCATGGAGAAAATTTTAGATGTGAGGAGGAGTATCTGTTGTGAAATTAATTACAGTTTGTTACCAAGGGCATGAAAAATTTGAAAGAAACACGAAATTTTTTTTTATATTTCTGAAAAAATGTACTGATCAGTTGGTGCAATTGTAATGGTTTACAATATGTTATTAAAAAGAACTTATTTTATTTTGTTTGTAATAATTTATCTTTACTACTGTAACAAGTTTTTGGCAGTTGTCTTGAGGTTGCAAAATCATGACAAAGGTTTTGAAAAAAATAAAAAAATGTGTATATATATATATATATATAATGACAGTTGTTACAAGTAAATTCAACAAGAACTGAATGAAGAGAACAGTCTTTTTTGCTTGTTTTTTTTAAAGGAAGGGAGCAAACTTTCAAACTGAGCAGGATTTATCTGATTTGATTTCAAATGTATAGTCTTTGAGGGTTACATTTTGAAACAAGTTTTATTGATTGATGCAATTGTAAAAGTTTCACAGATTTTGATATATTCTGAAAACTTGCTGCTGTTTACTTTCATCCAAATACTTCACTAAACATAATGACTCCACTCTGGTTTTTGGTTTATGGCTTTTTCTATTCTAATTCCTAATGTGTTAGTGCATAGTTAGGAAGTACAGTAATAGTGTTTAGGATTACTTGTAAGTTTTAGTACACACTCACATAATGTAATAATAGTTAGTAGATTTACTTGTTTATGTTAGTACACTGTTAAGAAGTTTTGCAATAGTGGGTAGATTAATTTTTGTGTTAGTATTGTCTAATAAAATATAGTTTTAGGTTTATTTTTATGTCAGTACGGCATCACAAATGATAATAATTATAGTTGGGCAATTTAAATGATTACCTATGAACATCAATTACATCTATTAGTGTCATGTGAATTAATCAACTAATCCTAATAAAAATGAATGTTTCCAGATATCTCTGTTTCTGACTATTCCAACAATCAAGTAATGGAAATTATGGTTTCAGACTATTATGGTTTTTGATCATTCCAACTATCCAAATAATCAAATATTGCTGTTATGTTTATTTATTCTTAAAAACAAAACTACAAAATTGCTCTGCCCAATTTTAGCCTTATAATTTATTTTTTTTTACTTCAAATTTCTTCAGCTTTGTTGATTTGAGGGCCTTGGGTTTGATTTCTGTTGCCACCAAACTTGCTTGTCTTTGTTATGGCAAAGCTACTGAGGCTATCTGCCACTTTCACTAATCTTGAACTGCTGACTAGAGGGAAGACAACTGGTTGGCAGCACTTGCCACCAATTGTTTTTTTTATTTTGCTGTTTCATGAAGTGCTGATTAGAGGGAAGGCAACTGGCACGCATCTGCCACCAACATTTCATTTTGTGCTTGGTTTGAGGAACACTGTACTAATTGATTAATGGAACAGTTGATTAATCAGTAAGCAAATACTAGTAACTACCTTTATCTGATGGTAATATCTACCTTCCATTTCTTAATTCTCTTTCATTCTCATGATGTGTTACAGCAATGCTTATAATTGTGTATTTGTACACTCTTATGAGATCTATTAAGTGTATGTGGAATATCTACTTCACTTTACTGTAATTAACATTTATATTTTTGTGTTTCATATATGCACAATATTTTTTTTTATAGATTCCTCCAGACTTGTTGGTTGAACATGGTGCTCCTCTGAGTCGAACTGTTCAAGATAGTGGCCAGTTTATTGTGATTTTTCCTGGGGTTTTCACATCCACTATTTGCTGTGGCTATTGTGTATCTGAATCTGTTTATTTTGCTACTCTTGACTGGTTGGATCTAGCTGAGAGAGCCTTCATGGTATTTAGACTTTCTCTTTAAATAAACACTATGTTACATTTGTTTTCAAGAATTTTAGTTGTATAGATCTATTTTATATATTTGTAAGTTTTGTATTATCAATTTGCTAACTTATTATTTGAGCAATTAAGCATAATTTTACTTTTTAAAATACCTAATGAATTAAGTTTTTATTTTGAAACTTGTACAGAAATATAATCTGGTTTAGTAAAATGTATTTTTATACTTTAATAATGCTACTTAATTTTTGCAAGTGAATATTTGAGACAATCTAACTTTTTTAGTTATTTGAGTAATAGTGTGTTATACAAGAACTATTATGATAGCTCTCCAGATTTTGAACCGAAAGCTTGCATTGTGGTGTAGAACTGTTTATATTATTGGTTAAAATTTCCTAAGTCTCTGCCTCAGTATTTTTTCTTCATGATGGCAGTTTGTTAGAACTTTGTGAATTCAGTCCATCAACTCATCTGTATATCTGGTTCTCAGAGGATATGAAAATTCTGGAATCATGGAATTTTTTTTTTTTTAAATTCAGTACTGAAAATCCTGGAAAATCAAAAGTTTTTTTTCAAAAAATCCTGATAAAGTCTAATTCCATCACTCTCACATTCCCCATTTTTATTGTTGATAAGCCATACCATTGTGTTTACATCAGTTTCACAAAAAATTATCAAGAAAGTAATACTCATAAAATGGGAAATATGCTGACTTAGCAGCATTGATCACTAACAGGTTTTGAACTATGTAATTTTGTGTACAAGTGAACAGGTGTCACATTATTGGAATGATATTGTTAGTATAAAATAAGTTGATGACTCATTTGTTAGAAATTTAAATTCCATTAAGATACGTAACCTGTAACCTCTGCTTACACGTAGCTTTCCTAATTCAATGCTGCTCTCCATATGTGAACGTTTTTCAGTCACCACTAGCCTCTAGTCCCATCTAAACTAATGTTGCCAAAAATATTGTTGCATGCAAATGAGCATGCCACAACCCTCCACAAATAGAAGTGAGACACAGCCTTCTAGGGCAGCTGACTTCATCTATACTAATTGTTCAGTCATCACTACTTTATTGGGCACTCATGTATAAAGATGCTTGTGAGTTTTTTAATATTAGTGTTTGTTGTTGTAGTATCTACAACAAACACCCACTATTGTGGAAAGATTAAATTTGGATTTTAGCTTTCAAATTTTTTGCACCTGCTGGTTTTGTGGCCTTTTATTTCCACATTATAAATTCACAAGTGATGTTAAATTCCACTATCTTTGTTGTGGGACAACAAGGTATTGTTCAGTGGTGTCAGGTTCCTCTTTGTCTGTTGGGATAGTGATGGTTATTATGTGATAGAAGATAGTCTTTCATACATCTCAATCTCCTTATGAATTTGATACAGATATACGTGCTTATTTGAATCCCATTCTTGATGATGAGGATTTTGACAGTCTTTTCCCACCACCTACTTTTGTTAACTCTTCTATCAGTATTGTCTTGGATCTATGTAGGCCTTCTTCACCTTTTCTGGACATGGTTACATTCCTTATCTCTCTCCTGCTTTGGATGGTTCTTCTCCTTCACTTCTACATTCATCCCCTTCTACTGGTTATTGATTTTCTTCCCTCTCCAGATATTTCAGTTATACTAAGCAATTTTTATCTCAACTTTGCTCTGATGCTGGCATGTCTCATCCTTCTCACCTGGTTGACATATATGCCTTGGCTTATCATTGGGTTGAATTCCTCTTTTTGTACTCCCAAACTCTGAAGTCTCTTCTTCAGGCTTAAGGTTTAGATCTTTTGTTTGACTTTCTCAAGCCCTATTTTCATGTATTTGTCTTACCCTCGTTACCCTGTTGCATTATCTTTCCACCATTAACTTTCTTTCTAAAGTAATCCACCATCAGCAGCATGGGATGGTGATGGTGTGTTCACACCTGTATTTCTCCTTTCCATTTCTCATCTTTATTCTCGTATGGATTCTGATTGCCTCCTTTGTCCTATCCATGTGGTTTGTTTGTTTTTTGGTCTGCACTTCTCCTTTCAGTGATTCCTGATGTTGTCTCTTCATTCCATGAAATCCTTTGTCCACTTACAATCTTTGTTCTTTTTACCCTCACTTGATGTTTCTGTTGGCTCATCAATTTGGGGTATTCTTCATTAGATGGGAATGTATGTCAGTGCTTCCAGGTGTCCTGTCATTAAATTTGTCACCTTACTCGCTCTTTGGCTGCTCAATTCAATTATCCATTGGAGGAGACCATTCAGACTTTCATGTAGACAACACCTTACACCATTGTCACATACTGTTTACATCATTTAGCCATTTCTTCTTTGACAGGCTATAGACTACCTCCAGTCACTCTTCTCTGCACCTCATACCATCCCCGACTAGTTACGTTTGTTTGTTTTTTTATCTTGTTTTTACAGGGCCCTCTTGTACCTTATAGGATTCTGCTTAGTGGCAAGTATTGCCTGCCAGGGTATGCTGAAACAAAATCTACAAATTGTAGGGCCATCCTGGCCTGATATATATTGCTCACTCATGAGAATTCTCATGGTGCTCAATGTCTTAAACAAGGCCCAATCCATTATGTACTTACTCATGGTCTATCATGAATAAAGCAGGCAGGGGATTTCTGCCCATCCTTCATGCCTATTTTAACACTTAGTGCTGGCCTGCTTTTCAAAATAAGGTTAATGTGGTCACCTGTTACACTGTCTTACGGTGATGTGTTCCTTCAGACTCACCTCCTTGTTTCTTCAAGTGGAGCAAGAGAGTCCTTCTACGCACCAGTTCCTAGCTGCTGGGGTGATTTACTATGGAGGCTGCCTCCTAAGTGTGACAAATTACACTCAGTAGAGAGTAAGGTGGTGCTGTTTCTGTCTTTATAGTACAGTTCACACATTTGGCTGGCCTTCCCCCATCTTACTGTTACCTGGATATCAGGTTCCCCCAGTTGTTAGATGTTGGTTTGTCACAAGACTACTCAACAAAAGTCCCAACTCAGTTGCAGTTTGGATGTTACATTCCCATTCTGTTTCACTGAGCTTGGGGCAAAGATGGTAGGGACCCTTCTCTTACTGTCACTTGGAAGCTGAATTCCCAGTGCCATCTGGTTTTGAACTGAATTTGACCCACCCTCTATGGTCAAATGCACCCTAGCCACACTACACATAGGACACTTTTGGAAGTCTTTGGCTGGTGTTGGAATTTGCTTATATCTTCATTCCATAACTCTGACACTCTCTTCCCTTAATGCCTACCAAAGATTGCACCCTCATACACATGAGATGCCATCTCCTACGAGCATGCCCTTATACTTTTCCAAGGTATAGGGTGTTTCACTTCATAAGTCTCATTCAGGTGCTTCCTGAAGGGGTCTCATCTAGGTATAGTTTTGCACTGGTCCCTCCACAACTTCAGCTATATGTGAGAGGAGGTTGTGTGTTGTATTGGAAGTTAACATTTTCCAACACTGAAAATGTATTTCTATAGATAATCTCCTCCTCTCACATTCCCACCCTTCTGCCCCACTTCTAGTGCATCTTATTTTATTGCCTAATCTCAAAGTGATGGTTGAACAATTAGTGAAGAGGGAGTCAACTGCGCATGGAAAATGTGTTGCATTTCTGTTGATGTAGCAATATCAAGTGGAAATTTGATTATGTGGGAGCCTCAAGGCTAGTGGTGAGCAAAAAAAGTTTGCATATAGAGGGCAGTGCTGAATCAGGAAGGCTATATGTGAGATGTAGTGAGTATCTATCTGAAATACATTTTCAGTGTTGGAAAATGTTAACATCATAAAATTTTTGATATGAACATGGGCATTTCAGAATTATTCTAATTCTATCATTAGAACAATTAAAAACCAAAACAGAATAATGTTTATTGAACATATGATTTATTTGTTAATAGGCAACAAGTTAACTTGTACCTGATTGGCTACTGAACATACATCATGACATGTCACCATGCCAATCAATCCAACAAAGCAAAGATTCACACACACATATTACTATTGAGATCATTCTCATACTGTTGCCTATTTTATCAATGTTGTATATGTTGTGGTTTCTGCACAAAATTGCATTCCATTATTTTTTAACTTTTCCAGTTTACTGCTCAATTCCACTTAAGAAAAAATCTTTCAAAGAAATGGAAATCTTGTGGGCTAATAAAACCTTTACATTTGAATATGGTATTCAGCCTGTAAGTTCTCATATGATAACACATACCTGTATTTAAATGGTATTTGAAACAACAATTGATCTGAATAAGGTGATGTCATACATATCAATCATCATAGGATGTAACGATTTCAAGTAAAATCATGAACCAGTTTGTAAGAATGTTATTCATTTTAGATCTGAAAGAAACATAAACTAATAAAAACATAGAGACAAAATATTATCAATAAAACACGTAACAATACTGTATTTACAGTTTTGATTGTCCCTTAAAATCAGAAAATTGTCCTAGAAATATTTAGTAAAGGAGTCCAAAAGCTCACTTAAAACATTCCTGGCCTAGATTGATTATTGTTTTAAATAATGGGCCATTTAATCAGGTATAAGCTTATGGTTTGTCTTTAATGTAGATTATTTCATGCATTACTGTTAGGTTTATGAGATTCATTCTTTTATATTATTGCCATTTGAATTTACATTTCCTTTTTTTATTAATGAATTTTAAGCAATAAATGATGAAGATCTTAGGCTAGAAATATTCTTAATAATTATTAAAGTAAGATTTGAGTAACAATATGATAATAGTAATGTGAGTGTGATCTTTGCTTTCTTGGCTTGGCTGGCATGGTGTCATGATGTATGTAATGTTTTTCGGGCTTACTAACACACTAGAGGAATTTTTAGTGCTAGCCAAAGCTCAATATTTGAGAGAAAGACTAAAGGCATAATCACTTGTTATTCAACTAAAGTAGAGAATATTGGAATTGTACATAGGGGATTGTAAGTGACGAATTCATTGGTGTTTTGTTTGCTAACTCACAACCATTTTGAATTTCTTGTAGCAGATTGTCGCATAGTTCTTTTTTTTTTTTTCTCCTTCTTCTTGAATAAGTGGTTTTTAGGTATTTAAAAAGTTGTCAAATATTTACTGTGCATAATGCAAAGTATGCATAAAGGGAATGCTGTTGTTTTTTTTACATGCATTTCATTGCATGTGCTTTTGTAATAATGTTGGGGTTGTAAAATATAATAAAACATGTTACTTCATTTTTTTGGAGTCAATGATCTGTTAAATCTGGTAAATTAGGTCTTAAAAATGACACTTTGGTTGTGCAAAATTCCTGGAAATTTATTTTATTTTTCAATTTTAAACCATGTAATATGAGTTAGTGCAAAATAATTAATAAATTAATTAATATACATCACCCAGTATTCTTTTGTTGTTTTAAGCTTTTCTGACAATTCATCAAATTGTTTTATTATGGAATTGTGGTTTTCTTTGTTTTCTGCAGAACAATAGTCATCCATTTGCAATCCTTCAACGTTTTCATTTTACTTTATTTTCTATAACTCTCTAATGTATTGATAAAAGTCATTAGAAATAGTTGCAAACCTTCAATATTATCATTTTACATTATTTCCTTGGTATTGTTTAAGGACATTAGGAACAGTTGTGAACCTCCAGCCTTTTCTCTTGAGAGACTTCTCTGTTGTATTGCAAATGATGGACGCACACAAGTTGAAACTCTACAGAAAATCTTGCCAATGATTGATCATATCAGGTAATATTCAGAAGATTAAGTTGATGATTTGCATGTCAAAAATTGTTTTAAGCAAGTAAAATTGTTTCAGAATTGACTCTGTTTCCAAACAATTTAATTCTAATATATAAACATAACAGGATAGTTATTTAAATTTGATTGTATTATCTAGTTTTGTTCAAGTGTGTTTGAGGAAACTAACAGATGTTTATGACAATTTTTATCATTTATGACCATACATATCAGAGTTATAGCTTTTGCAGATGAATATAGTACAATTTCTACCAATGAATGGAATATAATATTTTCACATGACGTGATTACACCTTTTACACATGATTAGAATACAGCTTTTATTCATGCTTAGAAAATAGTTTTTCAAAATAAATATGAAAAACACTGTAGTACTAAAAAACAATCATCTTTAATTATAAATGTTTCAGAATTTCTTTATATTCCATCATCAGCGATAAAACCTCAAAAAAGTTAGTTTATAATATTCTAACTACAAAATGTGGGGCATACACTGTAATACCAAAAAACAATCATCTTTAATTATAAATGTTTCAGAATTTCTTTATATTCCATCATCAGCGATAAAACCTCAAAAAAGTTAGTTTATAATATTCTAACTACAAAATGCGGGGCATACACGTTTAATAAATAACATTTTTGAGAGAAAACGTTATAAAGAAATGCTTAACTATAAGTATAAACACTGCATCTTTAAAATAATAATAATTATCAAATAAAAACACTGAGAATCTGGAAGTGATTAAATTAATAACAACAGGGAGGAGTTGATTTTGTGGATCAAATGTCATTATCCCAACAATCTGATTGAAAATCTGAACCTGAAAACCAGTGCCAGATTTGAACACAATCAGAATGTTAAGCTTAAAAAACTAATTCCAGTGAGAAAATCTAGTGGCATAAATACTGATAATGTTATTTTTCATTTTAGTATTCTAACCTTAAGTGAACAGTGTAAAAATGCTGTATCTAAAGGTTTTGATTTTAGTCTACTTACCCATAAACGTAGTTTCTAAAATTACTTTTTTCCATTTGAATGTATCTACAAAACTCTTAAATCCTTTCCTAGTTTTAACAAAGATAGTGTACCAAATATAGAATGTCTTATCAAAACTGAATTTAAAAATGCAGCATTGTCCTCCTTCTGTAACTTGAACCTCTTAAAAAAAAACTCTTCTATTAACCCTATTGCCCTGGGTACACTTTACTGCACATGACACAAGGTTTTAGTGTCTTACATTCAAACTGTTATTAAACTACTCTTTGTTTATGTTATACCAATTAGAATAGCATAAAATCTTAGCTAATGATCCATATTTTAATAGTATACAAGTTTTAAGTTCTTAATTCTACAAGGCAATATTTTAAAGAATCATGAATTTACACTAGTGTGACCCACATGACACATTTTCTCTTAGCATGTCATCATCTCTATTTTATCCATCACCTTCGAAAAAGTACAAAATTTAACATAAAATACCCTATAAAATTGTTAATGCTCAAACAAACCATAATTTTAATAGCCTTAAATTTTGTATGGTTACAGAGCTATCAAATAGAAAATCAGACCCCTTCTGCCACACCCACCTGTCACATCCTCTCTTTCACAATTTTCTCTCTCTTACGTTTCATTATATATTACCTATAACCAATAGAAAGTCAAGATTTTCATCTATCAAATGATGTATTGTATAACGTTGTGTTCTGAACAGAATATCGTCAATTTCACTCACAGTACAAGCTTCGTTCCAGTGGGAAAGTTAACAGCTAGCTTGGATGAATTTGTAAGGGATCTTGTCGCATAGTTAGAAAGCGAGAAAAAAATTGAGAGTTATGGGATATTGTCTGTTTTTTGCATGTTAT